AGATGTTAAAATTCCATGCCTTAGAGAAATGCTACCAGGTAGATATCGCGAAAGTGACCAAGAGGAAAAGCGGTAAATTTCTGGTGATTATATATCAGCCGCCGGCTAACAAAATAAGAGAACTATTCACATGCCATCTACATTACAATTAAGTAACAGCAATGTCTTGTTTATTTCAATTAAATTTCTCACTGTCGATGCCCATGAAGCAGAAATAAAGGAAATTTATGGAGCGCTTGATGAATCATGAAGGTACTAGGCGATACGCTAAACCCTGTCAGCCACCAGACCAAAGAATCTGTCCATTATGTAAAACTGGATTAGAAGACGAGGAGCATTTTTTGATGAATTGCACAGCTTATAGGGATCCTAGGAGAGAGCTGTTCAATACGCTAAAAAAGGAAACTAATCTTTTTCTTGACTTTATGACTCCAAGCTCTGCTTTTGCAACGTTGATAAGTATGAAGCAAGGAGAGAAAACGCAAAAAATTGTGGCTAAATACGTATGTGATCGCTTCCGCGAAAGAGAAAGACGCGTTAAATATAACCTTGTCTAGTTGTATAAATTCTACAAATGTACGCCTCTGTAATTATTGCACTAAAATCTTTGTTATAGTTGTAAACACATGTGTCTGTAGGCGCTCTGTTGATAATGAAGCAGCTATCCTATCCTATCCTATCCTATCCTAGGTACTGTACAACGCTCGGGGAGGCGGGAGGGGGGGCGGCACTCAACGAAGTTGATCTCCGCCCCGAGGTCCAACTCCTTACCCTATTATATAAGTTTATATACTATTTTTGACAGATAAGGTATCCCTTTTATTTATCTTCTCTTGAAATTGGTATCCCTTTCATATACCTAGAAAGAACACTTTATCCCTTTTTACTACTTTTAAACGCACCGTCGCTTGAATGAATCACTAAATACCAGGAAGGTTTCTTGGCCTTTTCACAGCCCAATGCAAGATTAGTCTGTTAGCCCTTTTTAAAGCCCCTTTACAGACCGAAATGANTGAAGGTACTAGGCGATACGCTAAACCCTGTCAGCCACCAGACCAAAGAATCTGTCCATTATGTAAAACTGGATTAGAAGACGAGGAGCATTTTTTGATGAATTGCACAGCTTATAGGGATCCTAGGAGAGAGCTGTTCAATACGCTAAAAAAGGAAACTAATCTTTTTCTTGACTTTATGACTCCAAGCTCTGCTTTTGCAACGTTGATAAGTATGAAGCAAGGAGAGAAAACGCAAAAAATTGTGGCTAAATACGTATGTGATCGCTTCCGCGAAAGAGAAAGACGCGTTAAATATAACCTTGTCTAGTTGTATAAATTCTACAAATGTACGCCTCTGTAATTATTGCACTAAAATCTTTGTTATAGTTGTAAACACATGTGTCTGTAGGCGCTCTGTTGATAATGAAGCAGCTATCCTATCCTATCCTATCCTATCCTAGGTACTGTACAACGCTCGGGGAGGCGGGAGGGGGGGCGGCACTCAACGAAGTTGATCTCCGCCCCGAGGTCCAACTCCTTACCCTATTATATAAGTTTATATACTATTTTTGACAGATAAGGTATCCCTTTTATTTATCTTCTCTTGAAATTGGTATCCCTTTCATATACTTAGAAAGAACACTTTATCCCTTTTTACTACTTTTAAACGCACCGTCGCTTGAATGAATCACTAAATACCAGGAAGGTTTCTTGGCCTTTTCACAGCCCAATGCAAGATTAGTCTGTTAGCCCTTTTTAAAGCCCCTTTACAGACCGAAATGACGGATTTCCCTCCCTCATAGGCCATTATTGGGAGTCCATTATTGAAAGTACAACGTCGCAAAACGGATGTATTTGACCCGAGCAGTAAATCCATTAGTAACCCAGGAGACCGTAGATCTATACCGGTTTTCTAATAAAATTATTGTCGCATGCCTTTGGTAACCTGTCAATGAATGCCATCTACATATAATCCATAAGAGCGGGCTTTTAGTTAAAGAATAGAACTGGGCCATCTGCGGAGGTCAATTTTTTGGAAAGAATGGAAAACTGTGAAAAGGATCGTGGCAGAAGTTTCTGAAGCGACTGAAGCGACTGAAACCGATCAGGATTTTCTTGGCGCATCTCCACCGTTGTATTAAAACGTAGCAAACTCAAGGCAAATTAATCGTCGATTAAACTGACCTGTTTTGGAACCTCGATAGGCAAGCCGACCTTGACCTTTTCCAGTCGTAAGTACGTTCAATTTTATTTTCGGTATTCATTTTTGTAGTGAAATTTAGCATACTAAGTGCACGAGCCCTAGTACGATGGCACCGACTTTGCTGATAAAAACCGCACAAGAGTAAAACCTCGTTTTACCAACACCTAGCCTCCGCGTTATTACGGACAGTTTTCCTTTTCTTTTTTCTCAGTTTAGCCCTTAATACGTACACTACGTTAATACGGATTTCTATGCACCCCCTCAGTGTCCGTAATATATAGATTTAACCAGAGCTAAAAGCGAAGCTCTCGTTAATATTTATAGTTTACTCAAGTAAAACATGTATGCTAAGCGGCGAAACGTAGGTCTAATTGACCAATTCCGATATATTAAATCTGATTCATACTTAGCTGCGAGGCTTAGGGGAATAAACCAAAAGAAATCTTCTTGTAGCTCAGCAATGAATAATACATTTCTTATGTTTTATTTCCCCAAGCCTCGGAGCCAAGTATGAATTTTAATATATCGTAAATGGTCTATTAGCAAAAAAACAACTTTGCACGTGCAGTACACTTTTTTTGTAAATTTGTTTACCGTTGTTTTGCATGACTACAACGTGAAACTTCCAGAAGCTTCCTAGTTACATGTTTTTTGGAGGACTGATGTGGTATGTGTTCCTGTTAACTTTTTTCGCTGCCGCTCATTTTCATCTTGATGGCTGCTAGAATTTCTCACTGGTTTTCTAACCGCCGCTATAAAAATTTCACTTTTTTCTTCCAACAAAATCGTCTCCTTCGTTTTTTTTAATCTCTCACTCTAGCTCTTTCTCTGTTATCCACGTTTAATGTAGACATTAAAACTTAGTTGAAAGAAAGAATCGGCTTTGTCCTTGTTGTATTTTTTCTCTCTAAAAGTCCGGGTGGCCATGCGATTTACTGCCGAAACGAGCGGGTCAGCTTGATGCAAAATTTCACCCTAGCCTGAAATTCATCCGATTGCTTCGAGTCGTTTTCTTCTTTAATAGGGATCTTAAGATCCGACGACGGCGACGGCAAAGCGAACGCCACAAAAGCAATAGGTTTAATTAGCAAAACAACAATTTTGCACGTGCATCACGCTTTTTTGCACATTTATTTGCCGTCACTGCACGACTACGACGTGAAAATGTCTAATTTCACGATGTACAGAGGAAGTACACAAGCATCGACGAAATTTCCCCTCTCTTTCTGAACTTGGACTGATATGGTTCTTAGAATTCAACTTTAGGAGGGTTCGCCTACATTTGACAAAGTTAATGACTTGGACTAATCGTGATGAAGATTGAAAGAACGCGAATTCACTTTTCCGGCGACGTTTTCCCTGCCGTCGCCGTCCTCGGATCTTAAGGTTCCTAATGAATGGGTGGACGTACGTACGGACGATTTTGTCCGAACCAGAATTATAACGAAATTTTCTTACCTATAGTGCTCCGCTGATTGACCTGATTGGGATAAAGCTCTTATCCCAAACAGACCGGAGCATCTCCCCGGAGACTATGGTCTCCTACCTTCTAGGAATTGAAATTGCTGTTTAAAGAAATTGCGTGAATTGGCAAACATACATCATTGAGGCATGAATTAAAAAAAATGGAATTGGTGTCGTTTATAAATTTTACTGATCTCTTACAGCAATATATAAGATCAGTTTTTAGAATCATTTTAATTGGGGTCTAACTGATTTTATCACATTAGCGTATCCGCTAATCAAGTACCTGTAAATGTAAAACTTCCTTAGCTTTCCAAAAATAGGTGGCGGTGGTGGTTGTAGACAGTTCGAGGGGGTGGGGGGTGGTGATGTTCGTTAGTGGCTCTTACAAAGCCTGGACTGTATCAACAGGAGCCTGTGTTCAGGGTGGAACACGGAGACGCGCGATCGCGCGAGGGAAGAGAACGTTCCTTTTTCCTTGCACGTTCTCGCTCGGTACTCAATCACTTGCCACGCGAGCAGTCCAGTACTGATTACGTGACGAGTATAATCAAGTGGTAAACACAGGAAGTAAGTTCTTTATTGATGTCCTCACCGGAAGTAACACTTCTGCTACTGAATTNTTCCTTTTTCCTTGCACGTTCTCGCTCGGTACTCAATCACTTGCCACGCGAGCAGTCCAGTACTGATTACGTGACGAGTATAATCAAGTGGTAAACACAGGAAGTAAGTTCTTTATTGATGTCCTCACCGGAAGTAACACTTCTGCTACTGAATTTTCTCACGATTCAGTTTCTACTTTATAAATAGTTAAGAAACATGAAATTTCTTGAAGGGTTGTATAATGCTTGCTGAAGATTATTTGGCTATGAAAATGCTCTTTCTGCCTTGACTGTATGAATAGAAATTACCCACAGTTCATAAAGCCTTGCACCCCGCGTTCTAATAGCATGACGTCACCGGTATGCAAGGCTTGGCATTCCCATAATGCTTCTGGGGTGGTATCGGCCATATTTCCCCAACTTTTCTCAAACCTAGGCATTGTTTTGCGCAAGAATATCGCTAGAAGATTGGTTGAAATACCGGGTTTAGGCAGTTTGTGATATCTTTAAACGACAGGATACTCCAAGCGGATTCTCAGCTTCAGGAAATTGTTTAAACAGAGGATTACTGGAAGAATTCTCTTGCGGCTTGTGAGCTGTTTTCATTTCAGCATGCCGTAGAAGATTGTGAGAAATATATGCAAACTGTGGATGAAATATTTGTTTCGCTGAATGTGTGCGACCAGTCCACCGAGTTCAAAACCTGCTAATTGCCTGTGAAGGACGATAGAAATCATGGCTACCGAAACAGCCGCAGAACGGCTGAGGCAACTGGAGGTGTTGTTTTCTTGTGGGAGCAGTGAGAAAGGCTCTTACAGCGTAGAGACTCTGCTGGACGTTTTGGTCTTACTTTACGATGAATGCTGCAATTCTACGCTTAGAAGAGACAAGAACGTCAGTGAATTCATTGAAAATGGTAAGATGCTTGAAGCGATCGAGAGATAAGCTCTGGGGTTGGTTCCTTTTTACTAAGACGAATGTCTTGCTTCATTTGCAGTAAAGCCAGTGGCTTCAAAAATAAAACAGCTTCGACTCCGGCGCGAAGACTTTGATCCCCTAACATTAATCGGCAAAGGGGCCTTTGGAGAGGTAATAGCGATATAGTGTAATTTGTCAAAAGTGGGTTTCGTCGTTTTTTTACAAACATGTTCCTGTTTTTGTTCAGGTAACTGTGGTTCGAATGAAAACCAACGATAGAATCTACGCCATGAAGACCCTAAATAAATGGGAAATGTTAAAGCGAGCTGAGGTAAGTTTGATAGCTTGCTAACCAACCAGCTGAAGTAATTCGAGTCATTCATGCCTTCATTGTAGCGTTGTTTAGTCTTTTGGGTCACCGTCGATCTTTTTATTGGCCTTGATATGAGTTGTGGGAATTAAATGGAATGCGTGAATTAATCGCAGGATTGTAGCTACGAGTGGGTCCGAAGATTTTAAGTCCGTCTGAAGAAAGATCGCATTGACAAACTCTTTTCGTTTGCCGAGCGACTTTACAATTGATCAAATGTTGATTTTCCGGTCAACTTTTTCCTTTCGTATCTCCCCTGTAGACGGGAGGTAAAATTGTTTATCCTTTAGACCAAATACGTGAAAGGAACGAATGGTGGTGGTGTGAGAGTGAAATGTACAACTACGAGAAGTGGAATGCGTGTGATCGAATCGAACAAGAGATCGGTCTAATGCAATGCTCACTCTGCACACGTAACGTCAAATGTATTTCAATAGAAGTTTACTCAGTTCGGAATATTTGCAGTGTTTGTTTTGAAAGATATATTCACGATAAAGATCGGCGTTTCATTACTCCTTCAGTTCAGCTGTTTTCAATGAACAGTTTATTTTCTAGCCAGATTAGGTTTCGAAACTTTAAGGGGAGAAAAAACGTTCTCCTTGTATGGTTTTTGCACAACTTGAATTGTATAAATTTTAATTTGCGAGTCATCGGTGTTAGTTTTAAAGACATCGAAGGTGAACGTGAAGAGACCTGTCGATTCGATTATTTGTTATTTTACAGTGTAAGGTACAGTTGTGTCGGAGGCAACATTGATGAGATACATTTACGCCGTATGAACCATCAATGCTTAAATACTACTAGCAAATGATTATTATGTGTAACAAAAGGTGTAGTTTACTGGTAAAGAATCAAAGCCATTTCCCCTTTGGCATTAATTAATTTGTAGCACATTTCAATAGGGGTATTAATTTAAATGGCAGCTAAATTTTTTTGGATTTAAAGAGACTGGGGAATCTTCGGGTCCATTTCCGCCTTGTGTTCTTGTCACGTTTCTTAGATATTTCAAAGTTCTTTTTCTTAAAATAATGACAATAATTTTGAGCAAAACATGTCCTGATAATGATGCCACAGGTTTTCAGCTGAGAGCAGTCCTAAGGCAATTTCAACGGTAAATGATTTAATACTTGTGATATGAAACATGACAGATTTCATACACCCGAACAATATCAGTGGAAAACACACAGACATCAACATATGCAAGTACTATTAAGCACCTTTTCGTCCATCCACCCAGCATAATGTTAGATCAACCCTCAGCCCAAGAAATATTTAAGATAAAAGTCAAAATTTTCTTTTGTATATGAGTACAATGTATTATTATCAAAGACGCTTCATTTGAATGGTGACACCATGACATTTTGTCTGCAAAGTTATAATAGAGTTATATTATGTGGACTCTATAAGAGCAGTGCTTTCTTTTCAGAAAAAAAACTACTCATTCTCAATGACCAACTTTTACTTCAACAGCTACTGTAATACATGCATCTTTGATAGACTCAAACCCCCACTAATGACCACCTGTCCACAATGGCTGCCTCTCTACAATGGCCACTTTTTATGGTAGACAGTCCATGCGTTGACTCTTGTTTAAACCTCTCTACAATGGCCACCTCTTTACAACAGCCACTTTCTTCTGCCCCAAGGTGTCAGTTGTGGAGAGGTTCAACTGCAATTAATTTACTATTCAGAAATTAAGTTATCATTTCAACTCCTTTACATCAAGGCTGTGCTCTAAGGAAAATCCAAGGGAGCCCAGTGCTATAAACCTCGAAAATCTAGGGTGCCCAGCATACATGGATGATTTGTACCAAAAAAGTAAGATTTTTAAGTCACCCAAGATCAAAAGTTAGGTACCTGCGGCCACCGGGCTCTGCTAGAGCACAGCCCTGTACGTGTTAGTGAACTCTTTCACTTCCAGAGTAAATGATGGAGTCTTGTGAGGTAGTTCTAACTTTTGAGTTTGTGGAAAAAAATCCAATGATGTGACTATTCAAGTGAAAGCCACTGAGCAGAACTTTCCTGTGGTGCTGTTTACTACATGTATGTTGTACAAGGTGGTTCTAACTTTTGAGTCTGTGGATGAAATCCTATGGTGTGACCACTCAAATGAAAGCTACTGAGCAGTACTTTCCTGTTTGTTCTCCAGCTTTAACAAAATAAAGTTTGTCATTTTTGTTGAATGTTGACTTTGACCGCTGTGGGGACTGACAGGATTAGCATACTAAAATTAATGGTCTGTATACTTCTTTAGTAGTCTGACAAGAAAGATAATTTTCCCTGACCTTTGCAGACTTTGCCTAAGGCAAAGGGACCCATGCATGAAAATAGCCTGAAATTGCACTTTTGACTCACTTTAATGATCACCTAAAATTTAAATCAAATTTAATTTCCGGTCTCTTTTGTGAGAGCAAAAGGTGAAAACGTTTCTGGAATGTTCTGTTTATGTCTTCTGCTATAAATATTTAGAACATTTAACTTCTTAGTCATTGAAACATGCATTTAGTTTAAACTATATCATCCAGATTCACTGCTTATTAATCATCAATCAATGCCACATCAGATAATGTTTATTCAACAAACTGTTTTTATATCAAGTTTATTATCACTTACCTAATATCATGTTAGTATAGTATTCCTTGGAATGCGTTCAATTTCTGGTGTTAATTTATTAGATTGGTATAAATATTGTGTAATGTATTTATAGTTAGGTCAGGCACATACCAACATTTGGTGAAATAAATCTTTGATGCCATTCAAGAGTAGCACATTGTACATGTGTAAATCTACTAGTAGCCCTCTGTTCTGTTGATTGCCTGTAGAGAAGTGTTTTCCCAGCTTATGATATTTTTAAGGGACCAAATTTTCTGCATTCAAAAACTAAATGTTCTATTTTTAGTCAAAGGGAATCAAGCTGTGTTTAAACACTGTTAAAGAAAGTATTGTAATTCTTGGATGAAGTCCTATGGTGTTACCATTCAAATGAAACTTTTTTGGCAAAATTTTAGCACATTGCTATTTTAAATCTTAAAATTTCAAAGAGAAATTTGAACTAAAACATATTGTAATGACATTATCCTTAGTATTTGCCACTGTTTGTTGGTTGTAGAAGTATTTGGAAGCTACATATACGTGTAGAAGGTTGCATTGGATTAAAATATCGGAAAATTTCATGTGAAATATCATAAGAATTATCAGACCCTTCTGATTAACATTAAATCACAGATTACTTGTTCTACATGCATGTAAGACAGTTAATGTTTTAACCAGAGAGGAGGGGGATAAATAGGCCAATGGATTGGTGGACTTTGAAAATGTTTTCCCGGATTTTGGATTCAGAGTGAAATTTTAACGGATTTGTGGATCTGGCAATGGCAGCGGATTGCAGATTCATCCATTTTTTGGGCCCCAATTTTAGCCTTAGCATGTTTAAAAACTATTTTGCCAGTATTTCCTATTTAGAGGGAAATTTTATTGGCGGATTTGTTTAATAAATCATAATGGATCTGTGCATTTGCATACCCCTATTCACCCTTCTTAGACAGCATTGACCAACTGTATACAACTCATAGGGAGTCAACAAGAACACTGTCTGAAAAAATTATTGTTGGGGAGTAACGTTAACTCTAGGTACCCATTTTTGGGAGGTGTCCATTTTATAGTGGATTCCTTTGAGAGTGAGTTCAATGAACTTGGTGAAATTTTATGTTGATCAGTGGAAGGACATAAAGTTAACATCCCAATACAGTGGTCTGGGTCTTAGGACTGAACATCATCTGACTGTTGAGGTCCTGTTAGACTAAATTCTGACAAACAATATGGCCTTGGAACTGCAACATAGGACAGCAGAAATGGTGACAAAGGACACAAATATGGGTTGAAACTGCGTCAGCGACAGAGAAAAGAGCAGTAGTAATATAATAGTGAAATATGGACAGCAACATGACTTCCTCCCCCATACGCTAAACTTCAGGTTTTAAAATTCAGACTAGGGACATACATAACCACCCAAGAGGACCTCACTGTATACAATGTACTAGCTGAAGTGTGACGATTTTGAACAAAATGAATGTTCTTAAAGCATACATTTGAACTGTTTAGATTCGTTTGATAAGATTACTGCTTTAAAGTATTTTCTTATTATTGAATATGATTTACAGTATGCTCAGGGTTTCAGAAAAGTGAGAGCTAGCCAATGTATGTGAAGCTTTGATACAATTCTTATAAGCATTCAAATGAAAATCAAGCCAAAGTAGATGGATTGATGATAGAAAACCTGTGGGAGGTTGTCAGATCTTGTTGAATGCTAAGGCTGTTGTATTTTTGGCTAATAATTCTCCATACTCATTTTTAGTATCTGGTTTGATTTAATGTTAAGCTTTTGTTTAGCAAATGAAGTGCATCATCTTGCCAGAAAGCTTAACCAACATGTGTAGAGGCATTATATGTAGCTTCAACTTGTCAAGTTGATAAGATCCATTATGTAATCCGTAAATCTGTGATTGATTGAAATTAGACTATACATGTACAGGTTCAGATTTCTATTGTTTACTTTTGATGTGATAAGATATGATTTGTTTTAGCCAATAAGATTATGTGAAAGTAAATGGCTGAAGTCTTTGTTTACTCCTAGTTTAGTGTCAAGTTTCATTGCAATTATATACCACACTGTAATTTAATTTTTCTGTAGTCTACAGTACAAGGGGTCATCTGCCATGGAATAGCAATGTGTTACCATATTACAATAATATTGTAATGGTTGATTGTACTGTATATCATGCTCAAGACAAGCATTTTACAGTGCTGTATGTAATTTTCATCAACAAGTTATTGCCAGCTTTTTAAGCATTTGCCTTTGGAGATGTATTCCACATAGACTGATCCTGATCGGTGGAAAAATACAACCTTCTACATACAGCTGTATAGCATTACTTTACAAATGTGTGACTGTCAAGTGGGTCATTGTTGTTCATACTACTGAAGTCAAGTACATAGCTCACTGTAATTTTATCCTTTAGTAATATTTCATGACCTTGGTTGTAATTTTTTGGTCAGTCTGTATTATTGTCTATGAATATATTAAGTGAGAGAATAAAAGCATGTTGATAGTTTATTCAGTAAGAATGTCTAAAATGGGAGTTTTGAATAATGTCCTGAAAAGAAGAATCAGTTTTCTCACAATATAGTTTTTTCTTAAGCTTCATTTAGAAGTAGTTTCAGCCAATTTTTTCATTATGAAAACTTGTTTGACAATTTGATTAAGGAAAGTGCAGTGAAAAGGAGTTTCCCATCATGAACTTTCAACCTTTTCTTTCCAGACTGCTTGCTTCAAGGAAGAGAGAGATGTCTTGGTGTATGGAGATAAAAAATGGATTACCACATTACATTATGCATTTCAAGATGATGATTATTTGGTGAGAAATGGCATTTTGTTTTTTTCTCTTTAAAGGGGCTACATAGATGTCATTGCCATCTTATTCTTTTTTTTGTTGTTAATTTTGCCAGTTACTCATCTTTCTTTGCTATGGAACATAACCTTTTATAGCAAAGAGATTACTTAGGGCAAACTCACAGGCTCATGTCGAACAAATATGTCTGACAAGGATTACAGTATATAAGCTGGTTACAAACAACAAAAGTGAACTTTGAAAAGCTGCTAGGCTAACTCTCTCTATGTTAACTGCCCTCCTTAAATGAAAGGCACGTGAGTGCCTGAAATATCCAGGGGCTTCCAATGTGGCTAGTAGCGAGGCACCTGTCACACAGATTGAATCCATACAAAGAAAATTAGAAGTTTGGGTGGCGCTGAGTTTGAAGGTTAAACAACCATGACAAAACCTGCTCCACAACTGCTACAAACTGCTGAAAAACCTCAAAAAGATCTTACAGTTATTACAGTATACTGTACCTTGATCAACCCTTTAAGTCCCAATATCCACATACAAATTCTCCAAACTGGTCTTTATACATTTCCTTAAGGAATAAGTTGAGAGAATTTGGTAGAAGATCCAAGCATTTTCTCTTAGGTGATCATTTTATTAACTCTCATAACCATTTCTCTTGGTGACATATGGATATTGTTAGGAGAATATTGATCTTGGTAAGTCCACATGAGCCTGCAGGTTTGGCTACTGAGCCAAAGAGGCTACAGCCTTAGCTTGTAGTGGTTAAAGAAAACTTTTTTAAATTGTCATGAAATTAAGTTAATAATATATTGAAATATCTGTATGCATCATCTGTACATCTACAGCTGCATACACAGGAAGGTCAAAAGCAAAAAGACTGGCTAGAGTAAAATGCGTGGAACAGATCATTGTTTTCAGCATAATGTGAAGCACTGTAAGCTGAATCCCTGGTGCTGTTAATCCTTATAGCACCTCATTTCAAAGTTGAAGGAATAATATCACATTTGTGCTTTGTTTCCAGTATTTTGTTATGGATNAAATATCCAGGGGCTTCCAATGTGGCTAGTAGCGAGGCACCTGTCACACAGATTGAATCCATACAAAGAAAATTAGAAGTTTGGGTGGCGCTGAGTTTGAAGGTTAAACAACCATGACAAAACCTGCTCCACAACTGCTACAAACTGCTGAAAAACCTCAAAAAGATCTTACAGTTATTACAGTATACTGTACCTTGATCAACCCTTTAAGTCCCAATATCCACATACAAATTCTCCAAACTGGTCTTTATACATTTCCTTAAGGAATAAGTTGAGAGAATTTGGTAGAAGATCCAAGCATTTTCTCTTAGGTGATCATTTTATTAACTCTCATAACCATTTCTCTTGGTGACATATGGATATTGTTAGGAGAATATTGATCTTGGTAAGTCCACATGAGCCTGCAGGTTTGGCTACTGAGCCAAAGAGGCTACAGCCTTAGCTTGTAGTGGTTAAAGAAAACTTTTTTAAATTGTCATGAAATTAAGTTAATAATATATTGAAATATCTGTATGCATCATCTGTACATCTACAGCTGCATACACAGGAAGGTCAAAAGCAAAAAGACTGGCTAGAGTAAAATGCGTGGAACAGATCATTGTTTTCAGCATAATGTGAAGCACTGTAAGCTGAATCCCTGGTGCTGTTAATCCTTATAGCACCTCATTTCAAAGTTGAAGGAATAATATCACATTTGTGCTTTGTTTCCAGTATTTTGTTATGGATTATTACAGTGGTGGAGATCTGCTGACTCTGCTCAGCAAATATGAAGATCATTTACCTGAAGAAATGGCCAAATTTTACCTGGCAGAGGTGGTTTTGGCTGTGAATTCTATCCATAAAATGGATTATGTCCATAGGTAGGTCTTCTTGATTAGCCAAGCTATTAAATTTTTGCAACCAGAGGATGTTTGTTTGTATATGTATGCTTTAATTAAATTAAATTTAATTTGAAACTTCTGTGGAGATCAATAAACTTCAACTTAACTAAACTTCTTGTTTTATTTAAAGCTGTTTTCAGTAGCAGTAAATTAAATCTCCATGCTCTGAAGAAATCAAATGAAGGTTGTGCATTATTTGTTGCTGTTAATTTATCCTCAAGGAAATTAAGTAGTTGTCATAAAGTCCAAATCACTCCAGTGTAATTTCTGTCTACTGTTGTTAAATTTTTGAACTTCAGGTCCCAGTTCATAATCAAAACTTAATCAAAGTGACAGGTATCGTTTACTTTTGTCTATCCAAACTGGATCAGCATAAGATCCTGGGAAACTCCTTACCCACCCCTCCCATAATTAACCCAACTTTACCACTAATTTCTCACTTTAGGAAAATGTTGGGTTGGAGGGTTGGGTGGGTTTGTGGATGGCCAGTGTTAAGAACCTTTACTGATCCAAAATGTTCATATTTTTTTTGCAGGGATGTCAAGCCTGACAATGTTCTCCTTGATGTCAGTGGCCATGTTAGGCTGGCAGATTTTGGATCTTGCTCAAAACTTGGCAAGAAAGGAACTGTAAGTGATTCATCCCCTGCATTCTGATACATTCATGTTATACGTGTACATGTAAATATCAAGCTAATATTGCTTCACAAATACCTTGAAGATATAAACCCTTTCTGTTATAAAATATTAGTGAAAAATAATAATGTTTATGGAATCATAGTCTACATGTTTTCTTTCTATTGTAGGTTAGATCGTCTGTTGCAGTTGGTACACCTGACTATATTTCTCCTGAAATCCTCCAGGTAAATATATGTAATGTAGAAAAAAAGTTCAGTTAGTGTACATTGAAAGTTGCAGATTGCCATGTGTTCCTGGCTTCTTCGTACAGTGCATATCTTTTTTATGAGCATGGTGGGGTGTGATGTAAGAAAAATTCACAGCTTTCCAGAATCTCAAATTCGTTGACTCTTTCTTTAGGCCATGGAAGATGGACGAGGCGAGTATGGTGTTGAATGTGACTGGTGGTCTCTGGGTGTTTGTATGTATGAGATGCTGTTTGGTGAAACCCCTTTTTACGCGGAATCATTGGTTGAAACATACAGCAAAATCATGAGCCATATGGTAAGATGAAATAAATGTTTTAGTTATTGCTTAAGTTTTGATGCCCAAATTTTAATTTATTTTTGTAGAAGTGTTCGTAACAGCCAGATGATTAATTTTTGCCATGCAAAGATTAGTATTAATTTGTTGCATGGTTTTTTTTTCAGGGTAAATTCAATTTTCCTTCTGATGTAGAAGTTTCAAATGATGCGAAAGATCTGATGCAAAGGTTGGTTTATTAGAAGATCAGCATGTAAAAAATTGTTCTTGTAGAAATGCTACCCGTTAAGAGGAACAAAAAGGAAGTGAATATTAACAATGTAATACAGTCTAATCTCCACTAATGGCCACCTCTTCAAACGGCCACCTCTCTACAAGGGCCACTTGTTTTGCCCCAGTGGACAAATACTCCATTCATCGACTCTTGTGTAAACCTCTTTACGATGGCCACTTTCTTCTATCCCCAAGTTAGCCATTGTGGAAAGGTTCAACTGTGTTAATGTTACTCTCTAGATAGTATTATTCTTCTCAGATAATGACGATAAACCGTAGTCCCTGTCTCACCACCCTTGCATATATAAATTCTGTGGGATGTTAAAGAACCCACGGACTGTTCGTAAAGAGTAGGGGACATAGTCCCTGGTGTGTTGGTCTATCTCTCATGGGGGAAGGGACTGTTACGCGCCCGCAGTAATTGGCGTCATGCTGTTGCGGTGACCCTGCCAATAATTGGTGAATCTAGTAAAATAAAGTTTTTAAGGAGTACAATGTTCTAAGTGTGCTAAAAACTTACTGTCATGTAATTGTACTTTATTTTTTCCATCTTAATTCATTTTCATCAGTAGTATAACTGATAAGTATCAGTATAAGACAGTATTATGAAGAGTAAAATCTGTTTTTGTTGTGTTGTAGACTTTGTTGCAAAATAGAACAGAGACTGGGACAAAATGGAATTGATGATTTTAGAAATCACCCTTTCTTTGAGGGAATTGACTGGGACAACATTGGGGACAGTAAGTTTTTTGTACTTCTTTTTTTGCTTTATTATTTATTTATTCCTTCCACATTTTAGTAGCTCCATGATTATCGTTGTTTACAGTGAAAATTTGTCTGTGTTTATGCTTCTGCAGAAAAACCCTAGTTAAGTTTTGATGGCAGTTTTATGAGATATTCTTTTAAAAGTTTTCATAACACTAAAGCTAGATTCTTGGATGAGCAACACATTACTGCATAATTGTGTTATTACATTATAATTATGCTTTATGTGTACGTGCATATCCAAGGGTATGCTGACCAGTTGAACATTTATTATTTGCTTTCGTAAACACAGTCTTTGTGTCAGATCATGGCTAATTGCTTAATTTTTTTTAATTCCATTTTTCAGCTGTTCCTCCATACATTCCGGAAGTCAGTAGTGCATCTGATACGTCAAATTTTGATGTGGATATCGATGAATCTAGAGCAAATGTATGTACTAAACTTTTTTAAAAAAATGTTATTATTTAAAATGTAGATTTTAAAAGATATGATTATGTTTTTTTACAGGATGCAATGCGGCCATCTTCTGTGTCTCCATTCACTGGCCATCACTTACCATTTATAGGATTTTCATTTACTGAAAATAGGTATGTTGGTTCAGCCCAGTTACTTGTTTTGTAGTGGTCGTGTAGACAGGGTAACCAGGGTAGCAATTACCAAAGGTCTAAACTTTTTTGGTTTTTATTTAATACTATTTTTTATTATATAAACACCAATGAAATACCAGGTGAGCTTTCACGCGAAAACTTGGTATCTTCACCTGTGAAAATAACATGTTATCTTCACATATGAAAATATCACCATTGCTATGGCTACATAATAAATCACACCTTTCACACCCAAAAACTATTAAAGTGAAATTGTTTTGTAGTTCATTGGTGTTTATATAATAAATAGAACATTACATGGCCGCTTGTAGATACGAAATTTCTCTTCCCGTGTTGAAAAAATATTTCACTCATTTACTGCACTCACTTGTGAAATATTTTTCAACACTTGAAGAGAAATTTCGTATCTCGGTGCGGCCATGTAATATCCTCTATGAAAAAAAAAATTATGTAAGCGTTGAGTGGGTGACAAATATTTCATAAGGATTTTTTTCACTAAGTCATTTACCTGCTGTACATACAGGTGTACGTATGACTGATATTGTAACCTTTTTTTGCTTCAGTCGACTGTCTGATAAGGCACACTCCGTTGCTAAAGAATCTGGGAACATCACACTGGAGCCTGTGGCATCAAACAATGGTAGAGCTTTGTTCATTCATGAACGTTTACATGTACTTAAGAAAGTAATCATAAGATGGAGTGATTCATAATGGTGATTGAACTGAATACCGTAATTGACCTAAAAAGACACCCACTTCCATATAAACGCCTCTTATCTTATAAACGCCCCCTCTACACTATTAAAATTGTACTAGATGCCCCTTTCTAATATTGAACACCCCCATGAGAATTACTCCTAAATACTAGGAATTAGCAAAAAGGAGCAAAATCATTCAATTCATTCAGTTGTTTGTTCGATGTCAATTTCAAAGTAAGGACAACACAATAACCCTGAGTGAAGATTCTGACATCGATGTTGGGATTTGAAAAAGTAATATGGATCTTTAGATGTTTCAATAAATTGATGGAGTGAATATTCTGCTATTTTCAAACTCTCTTGATATTTTCTCGGGAAGCATACATGTAATGGTTTTGTTGAGCTTGTTACAGTTATGAGAATAAGTGTCTCTATTTTAAACTGCTCCTACAGTATCTATTAACGCCCCGGCTTGAACCCCTAAAATTACATAGATTCCCTGGGCATTTATAAGGTCATCATTTCACGGTAGGCGCAATTTGGTCTGGAGTATTATATGTGAGTTCAGACCAAATTACACAACACAACTGATCAGTATGTTAAATGTCCATGGCCATTGAGGTAGCATTCAATAAGAAACAGTTTCAGCTGGACACATAAAATTATTTAATCTTTCTTGTAATAATTGGTTTATTTAGTCCCCAGCTCATTGTCTGTTGAAGCGTATGAGAGAAGAATTCAAAGACTCGAGAGGGAAAAATCAGAGCTGGCTCGAAAATTGACAGGTATTGTTGTGGGTGTGTTTATAAAAATGCAAAAATTAAATACATGTATTTGTGATAAAAAATGTGGTTGTTGTCAAGTCCCTGTCGCTGCCTCCTGCCTCTCATGTTTGTTTTTGCAAAAGGGTTATGGACTGGTGATCTCCCCTGGCTACCAAAAGCATGACCCCTGCCTACTTTCATCGGAAAAGGAGGAAAAACGAAAGCAAAAGGAATTCTCTGCCCACTGCGACAGAATTAGCTCGGTCGTTAGAGCGCTTGACTGTAGAGCAGGAGATCGTGAGTTTGATTCCTGGGACTGGAACAATACTCAGGGTCTTAAAATTACTAAGATACAAGGGTACTTTTCTCTGCAAACAGCTAGACCTTTGCATGATCCCATCTCAAGGAGGAGCTAAAATAATACGGTCATTGACACTCATATAAAGTGCCTTTTTTACTTATATTTACATGTACCTCTGGCAACTTGATATCTTGGTGACAGCCCTGTATGGTATGAGTGAATGGCCTAGATGAAGTATCTAAGTGCCCTTATTTATGATCTTTAGTTCTATGACTGTTGCATTCACTTTTGTAATTTACCCTTTGTTTAACTCTGCCATTATAGATTCCACTAAAGCATTACAAGATCAAGCACTGGCTGTTGATGGTCCAAAAGGAGATCAAGTGGATTCTATTGAATTGAAGAGGTTAAAAGATGATATGACATCAATGAAGAAGAAAATCATGGGTAAGTCAGTGTATTTTGAATCCATGAACCATGAGAATATCAGTGACAGTACATGTTTTGCTGCTGGTCATTGGCATAAATTTGTTGTTAAGTCTTTTGATTGGTTGATTCATTCATTCATTTTTGTGGTGAAACACCTTAACCCTTTAAGCCCCAATATCCAAATACAAATTCTCCAAACTGATCTCCATACATTTCCTTCATGGACAAGTTGAGAGAATTTGATAAAAGATCAAAGCATTTTCTCTTTAGTGATCATTTTGTTAATTCTCATAACCTAATCTCTTGACATTGTATGGATATTGTTAGGAGAAAATTGATGTTGGTCACTATTGGGACTTAAAGGGTTTTAAATGTACAACATACAATATATTTACAATGATATTAATTTGGAATTATTCTTCAGAGTATGAAGCTCAGTCTGCTGATCTAGAAAAGGAACTGCAAGATGCTTTAACGTCAAGAAAAGAACTGGAATCCACCAATGAAGGCAAGTTACACTAGTGTAAATAAGCACACAGCTGTAATTCTTAAATACTATTATTTTTTGGCAAGTAAAAACAAAAGTTGATGGCATCATGCAAAATTACTGCAAAGGAGTAGTTTGTTTTTTGGTTTGATTTGTTGGTTTGTTTTTTGACTCAGTATTCCACTGTTGTTTTTGTAGAAATGAGTGCAAAGATGCGATCTCTAGACAGAGAAGTCAGAGGATTGAGGATGGAAAAAGAAGACATTGAAAGAGTTAGTGTTGATTTCATTTGTTTTGTTTTATTTTTCCCCCTCTCAAAATAATGTATTTGAATGGCCAGCAATCACTTGCATGTCATTTTTTTCTATGTGTTTGTTTGTTGTTGTTGTTGTTGTTTTTTACAATAATATTGACAGTGCCCATTCATAGTGAATTTTTGTGGAAAATAGCTCACATAAGTAAGGGAGGAAAACTTATTGTGTCATCATAGAGTCCTGAAGTGTGATGCCATAAAAAAAAAATTAAATTTGGGAAATTATGGGATTTTTCAGGGGTATTATGAAAAAACAACAACCGAAAGGCCCACTTGCTAAAAATTAGCATTCCAGGGCAAATTGTCTCTGATGACTCCATACTAATCCTTCTAAAGTTGACTCAGTTCATAACATCCATTATAAACAGAGTCAAATTTAGAAGGATTGTATTGAGTCATCAGAGCAAAATTTGACTAGCATCTCCGAGACATTAAATCATGCATTATTATAAACTTCTATTGTTCCTATTTCTTGTTTATTCAAGGTTCTTCAAGAGGCAAATGAAAAAATCACCACACAGCAAAAAGAATTAAAAGAAGCCCACAGTGCAAGAAAACTTGCGATGGCTGAGTTTAGTGAATTAAATGACAAGCTAGCTGACATTCGGTCTGCCAAGACCAAGGTGTCAAGAATGCTGCGAGAAAAAGAAGAAGAAATGGGTATTCTTTCACATTCCCATGCATTCCCGATATTCCCTTTCATTTTTATTTTGATTTTTTGTAATATGCAGTGTTAATAATCGTTGTTTAATTCTCTCAAACAGAATCCACATTACAGAAGCTTGATGGCTTGAGGCAGGAAGTACGAAATGCTGATAGAAAGAAAAGAGAAGTGAGTTTCTTTTGCTGTTGGCCATGGTGGTATTCAAACTAAATAATAGTACAAGCACAGTAGCATCTGTGGTCCTGATTGACAGTACAATATTCTGATTACTCATAATTCTGTTTGAAGAGATGTGCTATTATTTGCTTATTTACGTGCTGAGGTTTCAATAAAAATTGAATTAGTGAGTAGGTTTCAATAGGGTAACCGACCATATCAACAAGGGGCCATTAGTCCCCTTTTTTTCTAGGGGGAGGGTGTCTGGGGGCATGCGTCCCCAGAAAATTTTGAAATTTCAAAGCCCTAAAATGTGAGTTTCAGCATTCTAGGGACCAAATTGAGGACAAAAGTTTTTCATTCAAGAAAATTTAGCTTTCATTCAACTTTCGATTTATCAGTTACACAATAAATTCCTAGAAGCAATGGACAAAAACTGAAAACTAAATTACATACTTTTGCACATAAACAAATTCTGTGTAAAACTGAAAAATTGACTGTCGTATAGCATTAACATGACTAATAATGCATAATGTAAAACCAGTGGGTTGTAATGTCCGTGGCGCCCCAACAGTCATTGACTACGGGATAGGTGCAGGTGCAAAACCAGTGGGCCATTGTGAAAGCACATCATAAGAACATTTTCATTCAGATTTTTTTATATATTTTTTGTTTACAACGTTATTCAAACTAGATGCTTCTTTTTTCCCAGAAAAAGTAGCCGACTTCTTTGAGCCAAAAAGCTGACGAAACCATATGTGCTTTTTGATACCCCTGTACATGCAATGTACAGTTCACATTTTATCACCGTGCAGGGGGCCATAGCTCATAACTTTTTATTAACATTCTAACAACACTTTCATGTGCATCAGGTGAAGTCAATTTTTTGTTTTTTCTCTTTAATGTTTAGATTGCTTCACAAGTGGAGGAAATGTCTGCAGAAGCAAACAAGGAAAGAAAGCTTAGAGCTAGAAGTGACCAGGTACATCAGACCTCCTTTGTCTTGTGTTTGAAAATAAAAGATATTCTTGGAATGAGAGAAAAAATGTTTGCTATGGAAGGAAGCACTATCAGTCTACAATAGATATTTTGTTTGTTGTTTAGGCAATTATTTCCTACTTCTCTGCTTAATGCTGTTGGCTATTTTTTCTTCTTAGTATGCAAAGCAACTTGAAGAAGAAATCGAGTACCTGAAGGTAATGTCAGAACTTTAAAACAACTTCTAACATAAACTTTTCAGTTGATCTCAAGATATCAAAAGTATTAAAGGCAATTACAGGAAGATCCCAAATGTCATTTCCATGAGCTTCAAGTTGTCTTTCCTTTCCATGTCTCTGAGTAGTTCTGTATAACTGAGCGCTGATGAATAGTCTGAAGTATAATGAGCTGCACTTCAGCCTTAGGTTTGCTGGCCAGACGATCTGATGAATATTTTGATGTGCTGACCTTTTACATTGTACCTCTTTGCTGCTTGCAAGTAACCCCCACCACCACCACTATGACTTAAATGGCATTAGTAAACTTAAACATTGAAAGTAGTTTTCAATTTATTTTTGTTTTTGTTTATTGACTCAGGCTAAACAAAGAAGTTTAGGGAGACCATTTCCTAGTGATACAACAGCAGAAGACCAACAACAAGAAATTTCCAGGTGAGTTATTAATTTTACGTTGCTTTTATTTACATATTAAAGTAGATGTACACAGTAAAAGTGCTTCAGCTGCTTGTGTAAGTTAGAATTGCAGATTCAAAACACATTCTTGGCTCTAACTGCATTTGTTTGCAGGCTTAAAGGTGAAATTGAAAAACTAAAGTTAGAGCATGAGGAATCTACAACACAAGAACAACAGAAGCACTCAAATGAAGTTAAGGTGAGTTAAAAAAAATGATCATTACTGTTTTATGTTTATAATTTATTGCTCGTTAAGTGTGGGATTATATATTAAATACATCATCTCCTGTTACAGGAACTTACTGAAAAGCTTCTTGATGTTGAGTCAGGCAGGATGTCCTTGAAAAATGAGGTAATTATTTTGTTCATTACATTTCGTGGTTGTGTAAATACACTGTACCATAAATACTAATACATGTAGTTGTTTATTTTTTAATGATCAATGGCATGCCTAGTTGCTCCAGTCAGAGTTTTGCAGTAGTTAAGTAACCCTTGTAGAATCAGACAATAATATGTAGAATCTAAGCAAATGCTATGTCACAAAGCTATGTAAAACCTATGTTAACCCTTTAGGCCCCAATATCCACCTACAAATTCTCCAAACTGATCTCCATACATTTTCTTCATGAATGAGTAGAGAGAATTTGATAAAAGATCAAAGCATTTTCTCTTTAGTGATCATTTTGTTAATTCTCATAACCTAATCTCTTGACGATGTATGAATATTGTTAGGAGAAAATTGATGTTGGTCACTATTGGAACTTAAAGGGTTAATGAGTCATACATTGCTTCAACCAGATCCTATGTTGTTTGTATGCCAGTACTAATTTTTTTCTATTGAAAATGCTATGTTTTGGCTAGTCAAACAGAACCTACTTAAAAGCTATGCAGTTTTTAAAAGTAGGAATAAAGGAAGAAATGACATAGTTTCCACATAGCCTATACATACAATTTACTTAGCGTTTGGAAAAAGATTTTAGACCTCATAGTCAACCTTATAGAAAAATCATTATATGAGTGACATAGGAAAAAATATGTTTATGTAAAAGCTATGTAGCCTTTATGTCATGATAAAACTAAATTAAAATGTCTCACAGTAACAACATAGGCTGCAAATATGTTTCATTCACATAGCATAGAATATACATAGCACTGTGTAAAAGCTAAGAATATTGTTGGAAATAAAAGTGAACATTGAGATGCTATGTAAAAGCTATTTCACTTTGATGCTCAGTGAATACATAGGATGCAAATTGGAAGGAAAAGCAGAACTTTCTATTGCATGGTAAATACATAGCTATGTCTAGACTATGAAAAGATTTTGAATAGTATTTGCATAGGTATTAAAAAGCTATGTACTTTTCAAATAGCCTAAACATAGTTTCAACATAGATTTGTCATACTTTGGACTATGTCATATGGTATGTTACATAGGTACTACATAGGTAGTAGTGCACATAACATAGCTGAAACATAGTCCAACATATTAAATCAATAGCATGAGCACAGGTTTTGCATATGTCTGGTTCTGCAATGGTAAGGAAATATTAAAAAGCTCCTGAAAAGTTGATGAAATAGCACAAAAAGACTTTTCTGGTTTGCTTATGTCCAATTTATTTTACAGGTAGCAGCATTAACAGCAAGAGTAAATGAAGCAAGAATGGACAGGTAAACATTTCTCAAATATGATTAATATAACACTTTGTCAATAGAGAAAAAAGAAGGAAAAATAAGAATAACACACTGTGGAAGTTCTGCTGAAAATGTTTTTAGTATCATCATGTTACAATCTTATCCAGATATCTTAAGTTAGATCTGCGATTCTTGTCACAGAAATGATGTAACTTAATTTTTCACGTCATTCTCCATCTTGGAATAATAATTTTTTTGGTCATAGCCATCGAGAACACCAGGAAACAGTTGAAGAACTGAAGAGGAAGAGTGAGCGAAAAATATCTCTTCTTGAAGAAGAAAATAAGAAACTCCAAGCTGACAATGATAAGGTAAGTACCCTGGCAAAGCTGGTGATTTTGCTGACCTGTGTATGGTTTATTCACGGGACGAAAAAATGGTTTTGCACAAATTTGCTCCTTGCAAATATATCACAAAAATGTAAATATTGGGCTAAGGTGGTAAATGCCACATTTGTATACCAAAAAACATGGGTTGTAAATATGATAAAGAGGCAAATGTGGCATTTACCATGTTTGCCCCAGATTTACTTCTCAGTTGTCATAAATTTGCAGCATATAATTGCCGAGAGCAAATTAGTGCAAATTCATTTTTTCTTCCAGCTATTGATTCCTTGGAAGTAAGTTTTATTGAACAGATTAATGTCTTGAAACTACTAAGCATTGTTGGTTCATCAGTAGCTCTTAGAGAGTACAGTTGTAATAAACCAATAGTTTGTTGGTTAAATTAGTATTATAAAGAATGATGAGAACACTGTGGAGAAAAAATCTTTACAATCCCATATCAATATTGTGTACTTGCTATATTGGCCGTTTTTTACCCCGCAGTTATACTGAAATGTGATTATTGATCTGCAGATGACAGAGAGTTTAGATCGAACCATTGCTTCTCATCGAAAACTTGAGGAAGATATGAGGGACAGCAATGAAAAGAAAGATGCTGTAGCTCATTGGGAAGCACA